TGGGCACTCGTCGTCTCATATTACTTCCAGCTACTGGCCAATACATTCATCAAACTGTACATTCTTCAGGGACTAAGTTATTCAAAATAAATGGTTTTATTATAAAATTATTTAAAAATTCATCGTTATATATATATATGACAGGGTGTGCACAACTCAGAATACGTAAAATTCCAGGAGTTTTCCAGGAGTTATTTACCAGATTCCAGGAGTCCCTGTTTAGAATTCTACATCATAATGTATTTTTTTTTTTTACGCTTGAAGAAAATTTACGGCCATGAACTAGTGAACTTATGAAGAGACAATCGATGACTACGTTCAGTTTTATATCTTAAAATATATAGCAAATCTACTATTTATGTTAATTTTCCAAGAGTTACAAGGAGTAATCTTGTTTTTCCAGTACTGGAAATCACATTTTCATTTTTCCAGTAGTTTCAAGGAGTTTTACGGAGTGTGTGAACCTTGTATGAATTTTCAACGAAATGTCGCTAATCATGCAATACACTCTGACAATACGTTCCATCATAATATTAAAGATACATTATTGGAGATAAGATAAAGAAATGGCAGTTCTGGCTATAATAGTTAAAAACTAGATAGTGTAAAGACAATTTGCTGAAAATTTCAGTCAAATTGATCCACTATGAGCCGAGAAAGAAGCCAGTGAAATTTTTGCATAGTCTCGGTCATCATTACTAAAATCATTAATATAAACAGCATAGTCTCGATTATCCACTTTTTTAAATTTAATTATCAATGGCCGTTTGCGGCATATAGGAATCTAATCCAGCCAACATCGAAGGCTAGCCTTGACATCGAGAGTTTATTTTGGTCTGGATAAGTTAATTAATGTCTAATTGATAATTTAGATAACATTTCAGGCCTAAGAAAGACTTGTAATAAGCAGATTTTGCTCTTGCATAATGCATGTTTAATGATGCATTATCTAAGAGCTAAATCTCTTTGGGATTCAAGTGTTATATAAATTACTAGTTAGGCATTTTTTCCTATGACAAGTCCATAATCAACTCTCTAGATCATCGGATGGCTTAGATATTGAATGATTAGAACACCCGCTGTTTTTACTAATTTAACGTTAAAATGGAAAACTGAGGCTATCTTCACTTGTCAAAACTTCAAACGCTCATAACTTAGCTCACAATAAAATAATTTGACTAAAATATTCAATATAATACTCATTTTACATTTTCTATTTTTGAACTAATCTAGCAAGAACGAACTGGCCACGAGTTCACAATGCATTCTCAGACTTACGTTAAGATTTTACTCAACTTTCAATAACTTTGATCTATAAATACAAAACTTTGCACATAGTTTCTTTTTGGTGTATTTGATACATTAAAACAACAAAAGTTTTATAAGGGGCTTTATTTTAGATAAAATAAAGCGAACAATTTTGAGTAAATTCTTAACTTAAGTCTTTATCTATATCTTTAATGTAAGTCATGACATGAATTGTGTTCTCAGATAAAAAATAAAATCACGTTTTAAAATAAAAACAACGGATTCTGCACTACATACATTTTCTAATTAAAACAAGGCGGAGTTTGAAAATATAATATTTTGATATAACTTAGTCCCTCTTTCGATCAACCTTAACTTATCTCTCAAATACAAGGTTCCATAAATTACGTTAAAATATTAACATCTATATTACATTCATATTTACATAGCCTAATAATTCTGTAGCCTACTATATTAAATGGGGGAGAGAGAGAGAAATGGGGTATAACCACCTTAAATTGTAAATCAAAGCGAACCTTATGATATAATATAATTTCATATCCTAATAATATTGTACTGTATATAATGAGATAGGGAGAAATGGGACTTAACTACCAAGAAAATTGTAAATCAAAGCGACCCTTCCGAGAAAACATAATTTTTCAAAACCTGTTGACATTGGTAATTATTTGAATCAACATTTATTTAGAAGTAACTATTTCGGGAATATTGGTTTGAAATATGATTTTATAAAAACCGGTCTTGTTATTTCCAAACCTATTACAAGACCCTATACTTTTCTTAACTGCATTTTCTGGACACACCCGTAAATTATCCAATAAGTTAATAAATTCATCATAATTATAGTGACATTACGAATTACAGAAGGTTATGTTTTATTTTAACTTTAACTCGCCGATCGTGCATTTTTGGACAATATCTCATTTTTTTCAGGGCTTGGATTCAAATTAATGATTTAGTCAAAGACTTATAGATGGCACTGATTTGTTTAAATCGAATGCAGAGGGTGACGAACTTTGCGAAATTAATCATGTTCTTGTAAATACTGAACGGAGCTGGGCCATTTTTGGACTGATATTCTTTTTGGAGATTTAACTTTTACAAAATAATAGTTTGCACTGGATTCAGACTTTTAGCATGGTAAGTTACAATACCGATTCAAATACGTCGAAAGGGGGAGGGGCGCGCAGCGAACCCATAATGACGCCCCCCCCCCCCGGTTTCCCACGCCCTGCATTAAATCCATTACATTTGATCAGGGTAATCCCATTCAGTACAATGTAATTAATAAAATTGAATATAATAGGCACTGGAACAATGGGCAAAATGCAAAACCAGAAAATAATACAAAAATACAAAATGTACATAAATATAGCTGTCCAAATGAAGGGCTAGAAGTGTTCAAATTTTATCTTACACTCTTAACAGGATTTCATTCCTCAATGAAAGAAAGAAATTCGGGGACGATGTGATCATCGGATGTGTCGCAAGATCTCATTATTCTAATTCTTGCCTCTTCGCCAAACGACGGAACGACGTGATCGCTGAAGGGTGAGAGACTTCTCGGGCTATCTATGTCCGACTGACTACCGTCCAAACTTGGACTGTTGCTACTTCTGGGGCTTCGTTCAAGATACGGCGTTAAGGAATCGTCTCTAAATATAATGACATCACTGATGGATGTCTCGTTAAAAGAATCAACCATTGTCAATCGTTCTTGCAAGGGGGAGAGACGGCTCAAGGGTTCGGCCATTTCCATAGGTCTATTGAGCGTGTCGGGATCCACGATTTCTTGGCTGTTGGATATGTCCAGCTCGGATTCACTAAATTCTACGTCTTCCACATTGGAATTACTGTTGTCTTCCATACCGGTATTAAACTCCTTTAATAAATATGAAATGTAGGGATTCCCTTCAGGTGATTCCCCAACTCTATATGTGTTAGGATTCATCGGTGAATTCGGTGGCACAGTTCCCAATTTTCGCCTCGCCATTGGTCTTATTTGGTACGGGCTAATTTTAAAAACATCAGTCCGCCCTTCTGCCACGCCTTCTTCCCAAACTTCGTCCAAATCGTCGATTGTTTCCGAACAGAATAAATCTATTTCTTCTTCGGGTTCCGATATATAGCTATCGGATGTGACAGTGCCATCAGCCATTTTGAGTGGCACGTCTTCCATGTGTATGTGGTTTGGGCTATGATTATGCTGCAACTCCATTGTTACTGGTTTGCCTGAAAAAATATATTGATTTGATAGTATTCGATATTATGTTAAATAAGAGTAGATCTACAATTGTGAATCCTGGATCGAAAAGGATTTGCAATATAAATGCAATGTTATAGTTCCTTTGCTCATGTTAAAATTATCTTTTTTTTTTCTTTAATGCAATTTTAAAAGTAAAACAAAGATCCGTCTGCCACGAAACTCATCAAAAAGTAGTTAGTAGAATCAGGTGTTCCAGAAATCACAAGCAAACATTGACTTGCGCATGACACCTACTAGCAGTGCTTAATCGTGATTATACATTATAGCTAACAGGAGCGATGGTTTGGTCTCATATTGTTATTTAATCGCAAAATTTTACTTGAAAATAGTAATGGATTATAATAATATTATCATAAATTTGTAAAATGTCGATAAAAATGAATATTATGACGGACAGTGAAGTATTACTGTGAAAAATAGAAGGTAAGGACTCCAAAATAGCCTTAGAAAAAAGGTGCCGGTGAGGCCGATTGGTATTTTAATTTTATTAACGCCAATAATAACGGACAGGAACGGTAAGACTAAGCCAAGAGGACTGTCCGTTAGATCAAAGTAACTAGGTCTAGAGAGTAGGTAACTAGAAGTAGAAGACAGGGTCTAGTCTGAAGACAATAAACTATCCGGTACTAGAATATGCCTATCTTTCGCGGGCTATGTATGTCCACAAGTACTTTAGTTTACCTACACATAATAAAAAAGTTCTAAAGGCTTTTAAGCCTATTTAGTATTTTACTAATTTTAGTTTTTACGGCGCGCTTGTAACTGTAAGGTTCATGAACATGGGCCATGGCTGCCTAGATTCGTGCTAAATTTGACTAACACAAAATTGGAAATCATGATATACCAAATCAATCGCTAATGGTTATCGACTGAATCTATGTCTATTGACAAACTTAAACAGTGTGTATAAATAAAGGCTCTGGTGACGACTGGTGTTGATGAGGAAACGGTTGCGTCATTTGCACGTGACTTGCGTTGTTGTGTTTACGTGTCGTTGACGTTGTTGACATTTTAGTTTATAATATTAGGCTTTGTTCTCACTTTCAGGATAACAAATTTCCTCTTCGATGTGGCTTCTGGAAATTCTTGATATGCTTTCACCGAGTAAATTCGGTATTTTGCTCAAAATCACACGAAAATCACTAGTAATATTATCGTCTAGCAGTCGACGCTAAGTTTATTTTGATTTAATTTCGCGGGAAATTTGTGGGCATGATGGGAGAACTGTCAACTATTATTGATTTTTTTTAATTAGTGAAGGATCCTATCTTTAAATGTTTAAATTATTAACATGTGTAACGGCTATTTAGGGGCAGAACTTTCATTGCGGTAAAACTTGGCCATTTTTGGAAATCTCGCGAATGTGTGAATAGCTAAAGCTTAGGTTCGATTATCCAGGCTAAATTATTATCTATTAAATTTAGTATTGCCATTTCAGTCTGGGTGACAAAACATAAATCCACCATTTTCTGCCAGCAGAACTTGTGAAAATTGCAGTCAGTTTGCTTGCTAGTGTTGTTCATTCTATGGAAGGTTGTCATTTCAAAACTATCTCAATGTTTTGTTTAAGCAGGGGTAATTTATATTTTCTGCCCATGCCATGTGCAAATCATTTCCATGTCACTTTCTGAAGATTGAGTTCGTGTGCCTAAAAACATTGGAGATGTTTCCATTCTTTAATTTCTGAGTCCGATCGAACCGGCTTGATCTCTACCGATCAGTGACAGTGTATGTATCCACACGTGCACAACGCCAACGACTGATCACAGGCTGTACATTGATTGATATTCATCCCTAGGTCCATTAGATGTAGTTCAAAAATAGATAATGAAAAATTAATATACCAGCCACTGGACAGGATGCGGGTCAGTTCATCCCACAACCGTTCAATCTCGGGCTGTTTCATCCCAACTTATCTTTTTATCGGGCTGTTTCACCCCCTTGTTATTATAATAGCAGTCAATTAACTAAGTTGTACTTATTGTTAAATAAACTGTTAAACCCTTACTTATTGCTAAATAAACAATAATGTATAGAATAAATACTAAATAGGTTTTACTCCTCGATTTTTGTTGATTACCGATCACGACCAAGATTAGTTCATATAGTTGGCTGTATATTCGTATAGTGGCTATGTGCAATTTTATTCTTTGATCTGTTCTATCACGGGCAATCCTGTTACGGTGAAACCAACATGCATGAAAATGACTATATTACAAGATGAAGGTTTTGCTATGAGCATCGCTCTATTGTAAGCGATGTAATTTTAGTGAAATTGGTGTCGAGAATTAGTGTGGATTTGGAAAATAAGCTAAAGCGTATGCAAAGGAAGAAGTTGGAAATCCACCTTTTCACTCGATTGTCACTATTTTTGGGATTGAGAGAATTTCAATTCCGGAACATTCAATGGAGTACCCCCATAGTTAGGGTGACCCACCATAAATAAATATCTCCAAATATCTCGACAATTACGCCACAATATTAATATATATGCCAAGCTTCAAATCAGTTTCACACAACTGGTTCCAAGTGTCGTCCATAACATCCAGACACTTTTGAGTAAAAGATAGGTTACGCGCCCTTGTTTTGAAATTAGTCTCGCTTAACCAGTCTATCGACCATTCTACGTCTGATTGACAGGTCGGGATAATCAAAACTACTTTTTTACGAAACATAACAGACAGCTAGAACAAGAAATTGAATTTAGAAATAAGCACTTTAGACAACTCAACAATTGTTTTAAGAAACTTGTAAAAGTAAAATGAAACTACTGCTAGTATCATGTTCTTGTCTAACCTGAGTGTTTCAGAGATATTATTTGTACTAAACCAAAAGATGCGGCTCTTAACGGTTCAGTTAATGATAGAGCAATTTAAAAAATAAAACAAACAAAATTTCTCAAGCTGCTGTAATAACCAAGAAGCTAAATTTTACTGCTATTCAAAATCGTCAACATTAGATTTTTTACGGCTGTAATAGTTGATATATTTGTAGAGAATTGCACGTGCCATGGCTATTTATCAACTCAAAGAGAGTGCGGGGTAGTCAGAAATCAGTTCGAGACACGCAACTGAAGCGTGCACATTTAGCCGTGTCGAGACCAACTTTCTGTAGAGTGCACGGGTCACCCTACCATAGTGACATTTTCTTCTCAAACTACCCAGGCTCAATTTATTATACTATATAATACAGGGACATAACTCTATGAATTGGGACTATTAAACCGGAAATAGGGAATCAAGTAGTAGGCTACCACTCGGGTTGTGAGACATGTCAATTTCGAGTAATTATATCAGTATTCAATTTGAAAAAAATAATTTCAGTGTATCCCCCACGTATTGTAAATAAGATATAAAAAATAAATACATGTAAACGTATTACAAAATGAGAAATCAAAGTAAGAATTCCCGTAAAATATTGTTTATATCGCATGCGTCTAGTTAATCAAGATTATTCGTAAAATACTGTGTGCGTCTGATTGAACAAAAATAGTAACACACGATATAAAGCAGACGAAATTGTTTTCTAACAAAGAAATAAGAATTAAAATGAGTGGGACTTCGGAAGCCACTGACAAGAATTGGCTTTAGACATAAGGCCTAACCAAAAGTCTACATTCAGAAATGTTCACAGCTACTTGGAGCAGTGCTAAAATTCTAAAAAATCTTAAGAATGAAATCTAATCATTTGTTATAAATTAAAATTAAAATAATCTTGTTATTTAGGTGTTTTATGTTGAAACTGAAAAATTGCTAATCAATTTTTAAATTTGCTAATCAAATTTGGCAAAATTAGACTTTTTGATTAGCAGTGCTGCTAATCATCTGTGAAAAATTACCGACAGCCCTGAATATATACTATGTTGGTCTTGACCTAGTTAGTGATGAGTGGATACACGACCTGTTTTCTCTGTCCTGTCTTTGTGATGTGGTGGCTCAGTGAGTAAGACGTTGGCTCGATAAGCAGAAGGTCCCATGTTCGGCCCCAAGTTAGCCGAGAACGTTCATCTGGATTTTCCGGCGTCAGTGGTCCAGGACAAAGGGCCTGGCATTCAAGGGACAATGTATAGTTGTTCGCATCGGACAAAAAAATGTATGCCTGTCTTCATTAGCCCAGTGGGAGCAGAAGGGTAGGACATAACCCCATTTCATTCATTCATTCCTCTGTCTCTCCTTCCTGTGTAGACATTGCATGGAATAAGCATTGGTGTTGTTAGGGATGTTTCATAACTCAAAACTTGACTATATATTATTTGTGGTTTTTGTGATAACTTTTGTTAACTTTTATTTCCTCTACTTTCAGTTTCATGAGGATAATTTGACTATATAATATTTGTGGTTTTTGTGATAACTTTTGTTAACTTTTATTTCCTCTACTTTCAGTTTCATGAGGATAATTTGTTTTCTCCATGGCACCTCATAATTTTGGTTAACAATACCTAAAGGAATCTGAAGAGCCTGTTCCACATTATCCACAAAAATGTGGCACGAGGCTAGAAAACAGGAGCGGAAAATCCGTGGATTGATGGTTGACTATAAAAAGAGAGCAGAAAGACGCAGGGAGTTTTACGAGAAAATTGTAATCTGGTTTCCTAATTTAATTTTTTTTTATTTTTAAAGCTTGAACTCTCCGACAAAGAATTTAAAGGTGTCACCAGATCAAACGTTTGAGATCAAGGTTCGCACACTCCTTGAAACTTTTGCAAGAATGAAAATGTGATTTCAAGTACTGAGAAATCCTGGAAAAACATGATTACTCCTTGAAACTCCTGGAAAATTAACACTTATGGTTTCGCAATATATTTTAAGATATAAAACTGAACGAAGTCATCAAATGTTTCTTCAAAAGTTCATGATTTCGTCGTCGTAAATGTTCAGCAAGCGAAAAAAAAAATACATTATGATGTAGAATTCTATACAGGTACTCCTGGAATCTGGTAAATAACTCCTGGAATACTCCTGGAATTTTAAGTGTACTGAGTTATGCACACATTGAAAGAGCTGTCCGTTCTTGCTATAATATATGTACATTGGCTTGTCTTGTGAATAAATGCTTAATTAATAATTCATATAACATTTTAAGCCCCCCCCCACCCTAAAAACCTGCAATAGGCAGAATTAGCTCCCACACAATTGGTTGGTGCCAGGTGTGGAGGATTAATGCTGGATGACTATGATATATATACATCTATACTAATATTTGTGACTGTCGTTTATCTGTTCAGGGTTGGTGGCTACACAAGGGCTGTCCCGAGGCTGAATTCTGGTGTATAGGGGGAGCTCGGAACGGAGAATAACATACATGTAGGCCTGGTAGCAATGGACTGCCACTTCTATTAGAATAACCTGCGTTCAAAACAAACCACAGACATTGCAAGAAATAAACAAAAAATATCAAATCCAGTGAATGGATCCAGCCTTAAGCTTTTCTGCTTCATAATAATGAATGAATATATGTATGTCACTCCCAGGCTTGAGCTGCCATTGTACCCTAAAATTCATTAAGAAATACATAGAATCTATTCCTTCCAGGTTTATCATATTCTAACCTGTATCCTATGGCTCAGTGGGTAGGACGTTGACTCAATAATCTTGAGGTCCCATTTTCGATTCCTGCATTGGCAGTGAAAGTTCATTGGGATTTTCTGGTGTGGTTCCCCTTGTCAATGATGTAGGACAGAAGTCCTTGCAATGAACAATGTATAGTCCTTTAGATATGACGAAAAACTAAGGTCCTGTGTACATGTAAAAAAAGAAACCCCCGACAGTTGGAATTCAAAATGAAGTTGGCTGCAGTGCCGCTGTCCGGGGAGAATTTTCCTCACAGTATGCTCGTCTTCATTAGCCCAGTAGGATGTTAAACCCCATTTCATTTCTATAGTCCCGAACTTCCATGTTTTACTTTTAGAAATGTTTAGGCATATAAATATAATTGTAAACGTATAATTCCAGAAATTAGATCCTGCCCAATTTGTGCATGTGTATGGAAGGCCGTACAAGATACATCTAGATCCAGCTACAGCCATGGCTGCTGAAGGACCACAAAGCATGTAAGCAAGAGAATTAGATTATTTATTCCTGATTAAAATATAAATTTCTAAGGAAACTGAAAATCGGGACTAACTACTAATTTAAAAGCGACTATCAATACTGATAATTTACATGAACTGATCAAAGGTTATACTGTCTGTCATTGAGTTTAAGTGGCATGGATTTGATTCCCCGCTTGTACGTGACAAGGAGTAGGGTCGCCTGTCCAACCTTTAGGCTTTTCTCCAGGAACTGCGGTTCTTCCACTCTAAAGACTTCTATGCGCAAGTGTTCTTCCACTCTAAAGACTTCTATGCGCAAGTGTTCTTCCACTCTAAAGACTTCTATGCGCAAGTGTTCTTCCACTCTAAAGACTTCTATGCGCAAGTGTTCTTCCACTCTAAAGACTTCTATGCGCAAGTGTTCTTCCACTCTAAAGACTTCTATGCGCAAGTGTTCTTCCACTCTAAAGACTTCTATGCGCAAGTGTTCTTCCACTCTAAAGACTTCTATGCACAAGCGAATTATTGAAATAAAATTGAACCATATGGCATTGTTATTATCCCAAATCAGCTGGCGTGGTTGTATGTGACAAGGAGTAGGGTCGTCTGTCCAACCTCGTGGGTTTTCTCTGGGGTCTCCGGTTTTCTTCCCACTGCTAAAGACCCCTACGCGCAAGTGAATTATTGAAATAAAAAAGTGATCCATGTGTTAGTTCCGAAATGACCTACTTTGTTGCAAGTGGACGTTAAACCCCATTTCTCTCTCTCTCCCTGTTATCCCAAGCATGTACATGATAAAGAATTAGATCACCTCTACAACTTGGTGAGTTCTCCGGTTTCCTCCCACACCAAAAGACGCCTTTGAATTATTGAAATAAAATTGTATCATATGTTCGTCTCATCAGTTAAAATGAGTCCCACCAAAAGAATTTACCCAACACTTATCACATGTTTGATCATAAGGCCTGTCATTGTCTCAAGTGGCTTGGTTTTAATTCTGCACTTACATACGTGACAGGGAGTGTGGTCTCCTGTCCAGAATTTACTCAACGCTTATCTTGTTTATATACTGAGCGCCATGGAAAATGCATCACTTTTTTTTCCCAAATATTTTATTACTAGGTGGTTTTGTATGTATAATATTATGCAATACTATGAACTATTGTTTCACACAATGCTCCCAAACGCAAAAAATATTGGCCCGTGTGCAAAAAAAAAATTGCACAAGATGCACATGAAAAACCCAATATTCACGTGCAGCATTGTGTGTGAGCCTTTTAAAAGCATGTTTTCAACTTAATGTGCAGTACATGAACTGTGAAACGCCAATCTGTCATAATTTGTTTTTGGACCTGTGAAGGAATCGAGCTAGTGATGCCGAGACTTACTGAAAATCAACGGAATGAAGCCATGGAAATGTCCAGGGCTGGCATGTCTACACGTGCTATTGCCAGACACTTTAATTGTCATCAGTCCAATATTGTAAGGTTGGTGGAACGTGATTGAGTTACTGGATCAACACGTGACCGCCAACGTCCTGGTCCACAACGCGTTACAACCCAGACTCAAGAACACTACATCGGGGTCACTCATCTGCGTGACAGATTCCGCCCAGCGACTCGAACAGGTGCAGCAGTCGTCGGAAGACAAGGATCAGTAAGTGCCAACACCGTAAGACGTCGTCTAAGAGAAGTAGGACTCCGTGTACGACGACCTTATGTTGGAGCTATCCTCAGGGATCATCACCGTCAGCGGCGTTTGATATGGGCTCAAGGACACCAGACATGGAGAAGAGTAGACTGGCAAAGTGTGCTCTTCAGTGTGATGAGAGCCGCTTTCATCTTTATCACGCTGATGGCCGTCAACGTGTGTGGAGACGTCTTGGGGAACGTCTTGCAGACTGCTGTGTCTTCAAAACGAATCGATGGGGTGGGTGAAGTGTAATAGTGTGGGGAGGCTTCAAATTTGATCACCGAACCACCCTACACATTTGCAGGGGTCGCGTTAATGCTGTAGCCTACCGTGATGAGGTCTTGCAACCAATTGTTGTTCCGATGTTTCGAGCGCACCCACAACTTCAGCACTTCCAACAGGATAATGCACCTCCGCATACCGACCGTTTTAGTATGGACTACCTGGCTGCTAACAACATCAATGTCTTGGACTGGCCAGCCATGTCTCTGGACATGGCACCGATAGAACAAGTCTGGGATGAGATTGGACACGGTCTGTATCGGAGACCACAGATGCACACCGTTGCTGTCCAAGAATGGAACAATTTGCCCCAGGCCTTCTTTCAAACATTGGTAAATTCCATGTGACATCGCTACGCAGCGTGCGTAAGAGCCCGTGGAGGACACACGCGCTACTGACATCTGTGTCGTACTTTTGGTTTTGACCCCTCTGACCTTGTACCGTTGATTACAGATTAAACATCCATAAGTGTACAAATGTGTTGTTATTGATGTGTTCCCATTTGAATATTGTTCACAATAAGAAGCAAAATAAATAAGATATGTTTACAGGATCATTTTGTTATACGAAAAACTAAGTGATGCGTTTTCCATGGCGCTCAGTATATGATCTGCAGAAGATGCTGAATCTTACAAAATTTTCTGTTTATTATATTTTTGTAAATTGTGAACAGAATCGATTCATTTTGACTGATATCCATTCCTATTCATTTTTGTGGAGATCTGACCCAATTTTCACAAAGCATTTTGACTTATGTTAAGAATTTACTCAACTTTCAATCACTGTTTATGAAAAATATCTTTGATCCAGAAACACAAAACTTTGCACATAGTTTCTTATTGATGTATTTGATACATTAAAACAACAAAAGTTTTATAAAGGGCTATATTTTAGTTAAAATAAGGTGAACAATTATGAGTAAATTCTTAACTGGGCCAGGATTTTTCAGAGAAATTAAGAAAATAGTGATGTGAAATTTATTTTTTTGTAGGATGCCATGGCAAGGACATACCAACAATATGATTGACAGATTTGATGTTCGAGCGCATTTAGATTTTATACCAGAAACTGATGGCAAGTTAACAAACCCTCTTAAGTAGGTCTCATTATTATTCTAGGTCATAGCTCCACTTGGTAGACAGAATTACAAAATTTAACCTTCGTCAAAAGGCTAGTTTGTATATGTTAAAGTATTGTGGTTGTTTGTGATCCGGTTATATATTTTAAATTTATAACTGGATTAAGTGTATTTTCCGAATAGTGTTTTCAATTAATGTGGGTCTGAAATGAGAGCTGTTAAAGAATAGTAAGTGCAGGAAGACTGCACCAAACACAAACAAATTCACAAGACAAACCTATGAACAATATAGACACCACAAACATCAGATCAAGTGAAGGGAATTGGCGGAGGGGGGGGGGGGGGGACTAGTTGTAAGCGTCCACTGTGCCTACAGTCACGAATTTCACTCAAAATAAAAAAACAAACTAAGGAAAGCAACTCAAGAAAAGTGGAATTATTTCTCAAACGTTCTATCATACTAAATATGAAATCTCTAGTTGCCCTGGATATAAAAAAATCTTTATATTAAGTCTATCTAGACTTCTATTGATTACATTCTTTTTGTAATAAGTATTTTACGTTTTAGGAAGGCTTTTAAAACAGACGTTCATCGATATGTACATTCGTCACTTTAATATTCTTTTTTTTTTCTTTTAAATTCGTTGATCTAGTCTTTGGCATTATTGAAAGAATATAAATAGATATTTTAATTTTGTTAATTTATAATTTTAGATCGAGTATAGATGAGGAAGAAGAAAGACATTGTAATTATGAAAGATATCGTTCACTGGTAGAAAATGAAGCTGCTGGATGTATGTATTGGGTTAGATATTAGATATTGTTGCTTATACACACCTTGCAAATGGGATGAAATTTCTTTACATTTTGAAGGAAAGTTTCACGTGCTTGATCTCTTTATAAAATAAATTTCTGTACATTTTTAAGGAGAGTTTCACATGCTCGATCTCTTTATTAAATCAATTTAATATTCTTCGGTTTTCCGAGTTTTGAAACATTAATGCCTTGTACAGTTAAAGATATATCATTCAAGAGCTAAATTTGCCTATTGTAGGTCTTTCTTTAGGCCTGAAATGTTATCTAAATTATTAATTAGACATTAATTAACTTACCAAGACCGTAACCAACTCCTAATGCCTGTGATATTTAGTGGATTAAAATACGTTTTGTGCTTGATGCGGTTACCGTAAAAATAGCGAATTAAAACGTTGTTTATTATCATTACAACAGTATTAATGACGATAGAGGCTAGTCTAAAATTGAATCACTAATGTCTTGGTTCAGAGTAAAGCAAGTTGACTGAAATTTTCAGCATATTTTGTTTTCATTATCTATTTTGTAACTATTATAGCGAGAATTGTCAGCTCTTTATCTAATCTTACCTAATGCCCCTTTTATGCCTTTTACAGTTAAATCAGATACCGTTATTTCCATCACGTAGTATTTTATTCTTATTATTATCTTCCAGGAAAAGATCCAACTTTTCTGTTTTGACTAGCATAATTTAGAGAGAATAAAATTCCTAATAATTATTAGATTTATATTTTCATAAAAACACAAACTATTTAGAGATGTTTTGTTTATTTTCAGTAACTGAGGAACAAAGTTTACATCAGATATATTTAGATGAACAATTTGGTCCAATCAATCATCCGAGTAATGAAGAGGAAAAGAAAAAGTAAGCAAATTTAACATGATTTGTGGTCTAAGGGGAGATAATATGACATTAGGGCACTTTGGCAGAGTTACTTCCCTTTAGTAATTTTGAACTATTTCTTTAAAGATACATTAGTTAAGAGCTAAATCTGCCTATTGCTAGTCTTTCTTTACGCTTCAGATGTTATAGAAATTATTAATTAGACCTTTATTTATATGACAAGCTCAAAATAAACTCTATAGACTCTCGAATGGCTTGGATACAGCTTGTATTTAAACTGTCGTCCATTTAAAATGATGTAAATCAATAAATGGCTGACCTAACTGACGTTTACTGTCAGTACCGTTAGTCACTGACGTCACTACCGGTGACTGCCGATGAAAGGCCTGCCAATTGAGGGTACCGTAGCCATAGAAAATGTTACTTGATAATCGAGAATATTTGGGTGGAGTTACTGTCTGTCAATCAAATGATTGGCAATTCTCAAAGACGCTGCAGAGACAGTTGATGCTTATTTCTAGTCCAAACTTCCAATTCTGACAACTATGTTCAGAATAAAGTAATTTGACCGAAATTTTCAGTATTTTCTTTTTTATCATCTATTTTTAAATTCTTATAGCAAGAATGGCTAACTCTTTATTGAACTCTTAACTAATGTATCTTTAAAACAAAGAATTTGTAAATATAAGGATGTTTGTTTATGCAGAGGAACTAGAAGAATTAGACTTATTTATTGAATTTAGAATTATTCAGGGGGATTGGATGGCCGAATGGTTAGCACGTGCAAAGGCCTGTCATTAAGTCAACTGGCGTGGTTTCGAATCCCCGGTTGTACGTGACAAGGAGTAGGGTCGCCTGTCCAACCTCGTGGGTTTTCTCCGGGTCCTCTGGTTTCCTCCCACTGCTAAAGAACCTACGCGCAAGCGAATTATTGAAATAAAATTAAACCATACGTTAGTCCCGAAATGACCTAGTTTGTGTCGAGTGGACGTTAAACCCCATTTATCTCTCTCTAGAATTATTCAGTGAATTTCAATTAGTATATTTAAAGTAATTTATTTCATGTGTATAAAAACAATACAGTTGAATCAAATTCACTGTCTAAACAAAATAAGGAATATCCAAGACTGTTAATATAGTGTATCTAATGTCAAGTAAACTTGATTATATATAAGTCTTGCTTTTCAAAGATTATATAATAAACTTCTAATAATAATTTTAAGAAATTCTGATATATCGCTTACATTCTGAAATGAAATGGGGTTTAACGTCCTGCTGTTCTGCTCCGAACTGGGCTAATGAAGACGGGCATATGCCATACAGTGTGCTATGAGGGAAATTTTGCTCGGACAGTGCTTACATTCTTTTGTTCATACAAATTCACACTTTCATTTGTGAACCAGATAACCCCAAAAACTGACCTAGTCAAAAATTTAATGAGAAAGGCAATGTGTGTATTTTATGAATGGATGATTCCAAGTTTGAAGATTGTTCATTTTAACTGTAGATTCGATAATAAACCTGTTATAGATTCCAAGTTTGAAGATTTTTAATTATAGATTTCATAATAAACCTGTAATAGATTTTACAAACTTAAATGAGAAGGCCAATACCAGTTCCAAAATTGTTTTTGGGGGAGCCATGGTGGTTCATTGAGTAAGACTTTGGCTCGCTAACCTTGAGGACACTGGGATTTTGAGCATGGTTCCAACTTGGATGTTGACTTGCTAACCTGTCGGTCAGGTGGTCGATCCTTCTGTTGACTGAGAATGTACATCAGGATATTTCTGGCATGGTTCCCCCTTATCAGTGGTGCTTGACCAAGAGCCTGGCAAGAGACAATGTATAGTCATTTGGATGGGACAAAAACTGAGGTCCTCGTGTTCACATTGGCATGCTTGACAGTTGGAATTTGAAATAAGAGAAGGTTATAGTGTTATATATCCCTCATAGCACATGTCATGGCCAGTCGGTGCAGAAAAGAAAGTAAGACGCTAAACTTCATTTCATTGCAATGGTTATTTTGAATTTTATATCTGATAAAAGATACACCTTGTGGGTTTTTTCTGTCTTGGTCATCCATTTTCCTCCCACTGCTAAAGACTCTACGAATTATTGAAATAAAATTGAACCATGTGTTAGTCCCGAAATGACCTAGTTTGTGTGGCGTGGATGTTAAACCCCATCTCTCTCTCTCTCTCAAAGATACCTGTATGTTATGAAAGGATGATTGTTTATTTATTTGATTGTAGATCTGATAATAAAGCTGCTATAGGTTTTACGTACGATGATTCAAGTGGAGGAGGAGGGAAGAAAGGAAAGCGAGGAGTTGTAGAAGAAGTTGTTAGTGATGTAGAAAGTGATGAAAGTAGTGATACAGATATAGAAGCTGCTGATTTAGGTAAATCATATAAATCATATATTTATAATCCAGGGGAGGTGGATGGCGGAATGGTTAGCACGTTCACGCTGTATCATAAGGTCTGTCATTGAGTCAACTAGTGTGGTTTCGATTCCCTTGTACGTGACAAGGAGTAGGGTCATCTGTCCAACCTTGTGTTTTTTTTCCAGGTTCTCCAGTTTCCTCCCACTGCTAAAGACCCCTATGCGCAAGCGAATTATTGAAATAAAATTGACCAAACAATAGCTATCAATAAATGTTTTATATTTTAGATGTAACATTAGATGTGGATGTATTAACACCAGACCAAACTGTAGCTATCAATAAATGTGCTGAACGCTACGGAATGAAAGATGATGATTTTATTAGGTTAGTTATATCTTTTCAAAATCTAGGGGACATATTGTTGAAATCTTCGTAATAATTTATGATGAAACATATGTATATGATTATTGCGCTCTCATTAACCAGGAGCTTTCCATTGTTCGATATGTCTGTAGATCGTTAGTTAACGATTATTTGCGGGTTCGCTCCCGGTGTTGGTGCAGGAAACAAAGTCTAACAAGTACAGCTGTCTATTCGTTGGGATGGGATGAAAACCAATGTGCCGTGTACACATTTAGCGTGCACGTAAAAGATCCCTTGGCAGTTGGAATTCAATATAATTGTCTGTCTTCATTATCCAAGTCAGAGCCAGAACAGTAGGACGTTGAACCCCATTTCATTTCATTTTCATTAACCTGGGGAGGGGTTGGTTGGCCGAATGGTTAACATGTGCGTGTTGTATCGCAAGGTCTGTCATTGAGTCAAGTGGCATGGTTTCGATTCCCCGCTTGTAAATGACAAGGAGTAGTGTTTTCTGTGGGTACTTCGGTTTCCTCCCACTGCTAAGGACCTTTGCGCTAGCGAATTATTGAAATAAAATTGAACCATATGTTAGTCTCGAAATGACCTAGTTCTCTCTCTCTTTAACTTAGACATGCATGTAAGACTTGATGTAAATGTTTTTGTGGTATTTCTGAGGATGTTTTCCCTGGTTACATGAAAACGGTCCCATTGCAACAATTGCATTAGACCAACTTTTTCACCGGCGAAAACGCATGCGAAAATGAACTTAACATTATGATTAACTTTATAATTTAATGTAGGTTGTTACGTAAAGATAAAGATGAAGTAGAAGCTTTACGACAGGCAAAATTAATGGAGGAAGAAAAGGCTCAATTCTCAGTAAGTGGTTTTATAATGTGTTAGGGGGGATTGGATGGCCTAATGGTTAGCGCATGCGCGTTGTATCATAAGGTCTTGTCATTGAGTCAAGTGGTGTGGTTTCGATTCTCCGGTTGTATGTGTCAAGGAGTAGGGTCCCCTGTCCAACCTCATGGGTTTTCTCCAGGCCTCCCGGTTTCCTCGCACGGCTAAAAACCCCTACGCGCAAGCGAATTAATTAAATAATATTGAACCATGCGTTAGTCTCAAAATGACCTAGTTTGTGTCAGTGGACATTAAACCCATCTCTCTCTCTCTCTCTCTCTCTCTCTCATTGATACAGGTATATCATGGTTTTGTCACAATTTTAGGCTCTATATTTATCTCATCATCTGTGAATACAGAAATCAGTCATTGTTTTTTAAAGTGAGTGATTGCCTGCCGCTCACCTGAATGTCGACCAAGGGGAGTTTTTTTTTCCCTCCCCTTAAAATTGAAAATCGCTCTCCTTTACAAAGTCATTGGGGGTTTATTATCATTTGTGAAACCAGGAATGACTCCGCTAACGTGCAGTTATTAATCTTCAGAACCATTTCCCAAACACACAACTAATCACTCTCCTTAATATCAGATCACTCTTCTTAATTTCTAAATCACTCTTCTTATCGAAACTGGGAGAGGGTTTTTAGGGGAGCTTTTTTTTTTCAATTTGTTGATTGAGGGGATCTTTTTTTGTCTCTCCTCTGAAATACAAAAAACAACGACGGAGAAATACATTTTTAAGGGATGCTGTGTTTAACTATTAGAATGTTTAACTTGATCAATTACTGGGTCGTAAATCTAGGAATGCTGTGTTTAACTATTAGATTATATAACTTGAACTATTACTGGGTCGTAAATCTAGGGATGCTGTGTTCTACTATTAGAATATTTAATTTGAAATATTACAGGGGCATAAATCTAGGGATGGTGTGTTTTAGTATTAGAATATTTAATTTGAAATATTACAGGGGCGTAAATCTAGGGATGGTGTGTTTTATTATTAGAATATTTAATTTGAAATATTACAGGGGCGTAAATCTAGGGATGGTGTGTTTTATTATTAGAATATTTAATTTGAAATATTACAGGGGCGTAAATCACGACGAGAGAGACGAGCCTATAAAGATAAAAGATTAATGGGTCGGAAAGTTAGCCCACCAAGGTTTGTTTTAAAATATTTTATCATTTATCCACAGTATGGGTGGTTCAGTTAGAATGGTGTCAACTGACTGACCAAGAGGTTGTGGGCTCATCCCAGTGATGGCTGAAAAAGTTCATTGAGATTTTTTAGCTGCAGGATGAATGGCCTGGCAGCAGCGTTCAGATGATACAGAAAACCAAGGTTCTGTGCATCTGTCATGCACACATGACAATTAAAATTTGACGTGGGGTAGGCAAAAGAAATGATGGCCGGGCGTAATGTCCCTTATTACATTACATGGTGTGTGCCCATCTTCATTAACCCAATTGGGGCTGGGGGGTTGGGCTGCTGAATGGTTAACGTGGGGGCTGGATCAGAATGTGGAGTGATTTCGATTCCCCACTTGTACGTGACAAGGAGTAGGGTTTGCCTGTCCAACCTCATGTGTTTTCTGCCCGCCCTACGGTTTCCTCCCACTCCTAGACACTTATGCGCAAGTGAATTATTGAAATATAATTGAAACATATGTTAGTCTCGAAATAACCTAGTTTGTGTCCAGTGGACATTAAATCCCATTTTCTCTCTCTCCAATTGGTACCGAATAGTAGGATGTTAAGTCCCATTTCATTTGAGGGATTGGATGGCCGAATGGTTAGCGCGTGCGTGTGGTATCATAAGGTCTGTCATTGAGTCAACTGGTGTGGTTTCGATTCGCTGGTTGTACGTGACAAGGAGTAGGGTCGCCTGTCCAACCTCGTGCGTTTTCTCTGGGTCCTCTGGTTTCCTCCCATTGCTAAAGACCCATACACGCAAGCAAATTATTGAAATAGAGTTAAACTATGTTAGTCCCGAAATGATCCTGTTTGTGTCGAGTGGACGTTAAACCCCATTTCTCTCCCTCTCTCTCCCTCCCTCCCATTTCATTTGATGCAAATGAGAAGTCGGTGATATTTATGGTTTGAATCAGGGTATTTTAGCTGATGGAAAAAATAAATGACTTATTTTTTTAAAATTGTAAATTATTGTTGACAACCTGTTTGTTTATCCTAATATATTTTTATATTTTGATATATTTAGTTATGCAGCAAGAGATAGTCCCAAGTATGAACCTTATAAGAAGTAAGTATCCTTACAATATAATAAACTGTCGAAAGTCGAGGGGATCACGGTGGCTAAGTGTGTAAGACGCTGGCTCGCTAGCCTAGAGGTCGGGTGTTCGATCCCTGCATTGGCCGAGAAAGTTCATCCAGATTTTCCGGCGTGGTTCCTCCTTGTCAGTGATGCAGAACGGAGGGCCTGACAAAGACAACTGTCTAGTCCTTCGGATGAGATGAAAAACAGGTCCCATGTATATATTGGAATGCATGTAAAAGATCCCCTGGCAGTTGGAATTCGATATAAGAGTAGGCAATAGTGCCGTTGGCCGGGCAAAATTTTCCTCATAGCACACTGTATGGCGTATGCCCGTCTTCATTAGCCCAGTATAGGAGCAGAACAGTAGGACGTTAAACCCCATTTCATTTCAGTTGAAAGTCGAAGAATAGTCTGAAATTCAGCTGCCTGGGAAAAATTCTCCTCCACATGTGACCATTGAAATGAAAAAAATTGAATGAAAAGGTTTTATATGACCGAATTTTTGTGTTGACGAAATATTAAATCCCAGTTCATTTCATTCCTACAAATAACCCAGTTAGTTTTCACAATGATCTGTTTAGGTGTCATCTGCAGCATGGTACTGCTTATCTTTATTAGATCTTGTGATTTCTAGGATTCACTCGAATTAAAGAGGCCTGTGAAAACATTTTAGATAATCTAAACGCTAGATAATCTCCCGACTTTGATTCTATCAGTTTTAAAACCGGCCCATCACTTATCAATTCGTCATATCTTTGTAACAGAACCATTTTTGGACAGATATTCCTATTAGAAATTCATCTTTCACAATACTGTAGTTTTTAATTGTGTGGAGCCATGGTGGCTAAGTGGGTAAGACGCCGACTCGCTAGTCTGGAGGTCACATGTTCGATCCCTGCATTGGCCGAGAAAGGTCATCAGGATTTTCTGATTCAACGATATATCATGCCAGCACTAGATTGAATCCTAGTCAGTAAGGGGTTCACGGTGGCTAAGTGGGTAAGACGCTGGCTCGCTAGCCTGGAGGTCAGGTGTTCGATCCCTGCATTGCCTGAGAAAGTTCACCCAGATTTTCAACGTGGTCCCCCCTTGTAAGTGATGCAGGACCTGACAAGGACACCTGTCTAGTTGTTCGTATGATACGAAAAACCAAGGTCCCATGTACACATTGGCGTGCACGTAAAAGATCACTTGGCAGTTGGAATTCGATATAAGAGTAGGCCATTGTGCTGCTTCCCGGGTAAAATTTCCCTTATTGCATGCTGTATGGCGTATGCCCGTCTTCATTAGCCCAGTCGGAGAAGAACAGTAGGACGTTAAACCCCATTTCATTGTGTGATTATGACATTATTCTAATACAGTTGTTTCCATTTTTCAGGGACTCCTCATCTTCACGATCTAGATCACGTAGTCCAGATGGACCAACCAAGGTGATGTTCATCACAAGTTTTGGGGATGAAGAAGACCATCCTGTTCAAGGACCCTGTCTTCCAGCTGCTGATAATGTTAACAAAACTGAGTCAAAGGGAAAATCCCGGTCGGTAGTCATGTTAATATCATTTTGTAGGGAGGGAATAGGGATAAATAGATCCTTCATTATTTTGTAGGGAGGGATAAAACGATAAATAAGTTAAACCCTTTATTATAGACTAATTTGCTAGGAAGTGACACACAGTGGTCTGTCAACTTTGCGATACATCAACAAATAGACCAGTTACAACCTTTCATTAGATTTCTAAAAATGACGATTTCCTTCTACTGTGAATTATTGAAATAAAAAAAATATCATGTTAGTCCTAAAATGGCTTTTGTGGTGTGGGGAACCATTAAACCCCATTTTTCTCTAGGAGGTTGGGTGGCCAAATGGTTAACGCTGCACCTTGCATTATAAGGTCTGTCATTGAGTCAACTGGCGTGGTTTCGATTCCCCAGTTGTACGTGACCAGGAATAGGGTCTCCCTTCCAACGTTGTGGGTTTTCTCCGGGTCCTCCTGTTTTCTCCCACTGAAGACCCCTTACTGGCAAGCGAATTAATGAAATGAAATTGTACCATATGTTAGTCCTGAAATGACATAGTTTGTGTCCCGTGGAGGTTAAACTCTCTCTCTCTCTCTCTCTCTCTCTTCCCCCCCCCCCCCATTTATCTCTTTTCAAAATATATTACATGGTAAATTTCAAAATATAAAATTCTGAAAAAGAAGTATTGAGAGTAGAATAGTGTATGTCATAAATATCATGGATTTATTTTGTATTTTTCAGATTATCTTCGAATCGTGAAGATCATAAAACTTCATTTAGACGTCGCAGATCATCTTCATCATCGTCTAGGTCAAGGTCACGTGATAGAAGGTCGCGTAGTAGGAATCGAAGGAGTGGTAGTTCCCCAAAAAGGTCACAGTACTCTAGTCGTAAATCTAAACAAACATCAGATAAATATCACAATAGAGACCGGTCTAGGTCAAGGTCTAGAAAAAGGTCACGATCATCCAGCAGCAGGTCAAGGTCATCATCATATTCTAGTTCAAGTTCATATAGTTCCAGGTCAAGGTCGAGGTTAGTCAAGCTGAAAATATGATCATTGTAGCAAAAGACAGAGAAAGGGGGTTTAACGTCCACTCGACACAAACTAGGTCATTTCGGGACTAAAGTATGGTTTGATTTTTTTATTTAAAAAATTTGCTTGCGCGTACAGTGGGAGGAAACCGGAAGACCCAGACAAAACCCACGAGGTTGGACAGGCGACCCTAGTCACTTGTCACGTACAACCGGGGAATCGAAACCACACCAGTTGACTCAATGACGGGCCTTATGATACAGTTCGCATGTGTTGACCATTCAGCCATACAAACCCCCCCCCCCCCCCCAATTGTAGCAAATTAGCACTGAAATCTCATCAGATGATATAAACAAGCCTTATTATAATCCAATTGAATTAGTGCTGGGTATTGCCACAGCAGTCACGATACGATATGTATTGCGATTCAGGTACTACGATACGATTCGTATCACGATTCATAACCTAGTCAATATTTACCCAGAAAACAACAGGATAAAATGAATGACTGATATTTTTAGTCCTGCCGATGTCGTAGAAATAAAACTGTTTTATATCGCGATATTGATGTGGATCAAAATAAGGACCTAAACAATTTAAGAGTGTTTGTACCTACGGATAATGTGTGATGTGGATTATTAATAGTGACAGGTTACTTACTGAAGCGACAAAAATAATATCGCGATTCAGCGTCTCACGATTCAGTGTGCAAATCGTGATAAATCGATTCAACAATATTAATGTGGATCAAAATAAGGACTAAATCAATTTATGAGTGACCGGTTACTCATTGAAGCGACAAAAAAAAACATAAAAAAGTATCGCGATACATCGATTCAACTTCTAGTGATTCAATGCGCGAATCGTGATACATCGATTCAAGGATATATCATGCCAGCACTAGATTGAATCCTTTGTCTGAAAATAAAATGAAAGTAGAGAAAAATATTGTGCAAGTTTCATTGTACAAGAGCTAAAATTTGTGCTCTGCCAATGAAATCTTTAAATGTTTTAAGTTTCTGGTATCAAACGATATATCAAAAAATGTATTTGATGACCCAAATGAGGTTATGTCAGTTACAAAATAGTTATAAAAATGAAAATCTAATTCAGTCAACCTTTCTATTTCAGGTCCCGATCTAGAAGTCAATCAATGAGTCCTAAACCGGTCATAAAGAGTTACAGAAGAGAAAGTCTGTCATCTAAATCAGACAGCTCTTCTGAGGATGATCGTTCCAGAAACAACAGAAATTATTCCTCTAAGAAGTAAGTCATCTCCTATAATAACAATCCTTTTTGTACGCCCACATTGAAATGTGGTTGTTGTGGGGTTGGATGGCTGAATGGTTAGCATGTGCGTGCTGTATCATTGAGTCAACTGGCAGGGTTTCGATTCCCTGGTTGTACATGGCAAGGAGCAGGGTCGCCTGTCCAACCTTGTGGGTTTTCTCTGGGTCCTCCGGTTTCCTCCTACGGGCAAACGAATTATAGAAATAAAATTAAACCATATGTTACTCCCGAAATGACCTAGTTTGTGTCGAGTGGACGTGAAACCCCATTTCTCTCTCTCTCTGAAATGTGGTTGTGCTTGTAGGGGGCGTTGGATTGGCAGGTTTGACGAGGCAAGCTGTCCATATGGGATGGAATACTTTGCAAATTGGTAGTGGCCCCAAATACCATCCTTGGCAGATGGTATACAAAGAAAAAGCATAGAAGTTGCTGTGTGGAATTAAAATTCTGTTTTTATGCGCCCACATTTTCATGTGGACGTATAATTTTGTCGCCCCTGTCCGTCTGGATGTTCGTTTTTTGTAGACACTCCACAGGTCACAATTTTTATTCGATTTTGACGAAACTTAAAATATAGTTCTTTATCCCAAAGATCTCTGTGTCTTTCAATATAGGCATATATCGGACCATAACTTCATGGATTATGGCCCCAGATTATACGAAAAATCACATTTTTAGCTGGTGGAAACGAGAGGTCACAATTTTCATCTGATTTTGATGAAACTTGAAATGCATGTTTATAACCCAAAGATCTTGGTTCCTTTCGATATTTGCGCATATCGTATCGTAACTTCCTGAATTATGCCCCCTGATTGTACGAAACATCGCTTTTGTTTATCTTGTTCTCTATCCATCTCTTGCAAAATGTGGGCGTATCCCCCCTGGCAGTTGCTGGTTGTATCTGGAAAAGCCCTGAGAGTAAATAAAGTATAACATGATATTATTTGTACCTGACATTTTGGCCGAATGGTTAGCATATGCGCGCTGTATCATAAGGTCTGTCATTGAGTCAACTGGCGTGCTTTCGATTCCCCGGTTGGACATGACAAGGAGATGGGTCGCCTGTCCAACCTCGTGGGTTTCCTCCGGTTTCCTCCCAGTGCTAAAGACCCCTACGCGCAAGTGAATTATAAAATTGAACCATGTGTTAGTCCCGAAATGACCTAGTTTGTGTCGAGTAGACGTTAGGCCCCCATTTCTCTCTCTCTCTCTCTTCATTAGCCCGGTCGGAGCAGAACAGTAGGACGTTAAACCCCATTTCATTTTCATTATAACTATGTGATTATCTTTGTTTATTTTTAGAACACCGTCTATATTATCAGTTGGTAAACACAAAACATCTTCGTACAGTTCTAACCAAGTCAGTAAGAAACAATTTTTTATGGGTTTTATTTTTTAAAAAAAAATGCTTTTGTCCTGGAGGGGATTTTGTTTGTGTTACGTGTTGTCCAGTTACAAGTGTTTTTTGTTTAAATTTAAAAGTGTTTGGATACTGAAAGCTGTTAATCTGTTCAGATTTTTTCTCAAATTCGAGGCAAGGGACAACGTATAGTTGTTAAGATAGTACTAAAAACCGAGCTCCTGTGTACACATTGGAGTGCACGTAAAAGAACCCTTGGCAGTTAGAATTCGATGTGAGAGTAGGCCATAGCGCCATTGTCCGGGCAAAATTTCCCTCATAGCACACTGAATGACGTATGTTACATGTTGTCCAGTTTTAAGTGTATTTTGTTTAAATTTAAAAAGTGTTTGGATACCTAAAGCTGTTAATTTGTTAAGATTTTTCTCAAATTCCATCTGACGCATTGGGACAATGAGAGGATGGGCTTTTCAGTTCTCTGTCCATCTCTTGCAAAATGTGGGCGTATCTTGCCTGGCAACTGCTTGTTTATTTGTAAGATGCGGACAAAAAGGGGAATAAGAGACATTTATTTGTAAAATAAGGAATACGGGATATTTATTTGTACGTAGGGGAATACGGGACGTTTATTTATAAAATGGGGAATACCGGATGAGGAATACAGGATATTAATTTGTAAGAAGGGGAATAAGGGATTCATTTATTTGTAGGGTGGGGAATAAGATATGTTTGTTTGTAAGATAAGGAAAGAATGAGGAATAAGGGATGTTTGTTTGTAAGAAGGGGAATAAGGGATGTTTATTTATAGAAAGGGGAATAAGAGATGTTTATTTGTAAGAGGAAGGTGGTTATTTATAAAAAGGGGAATAAGAATGGGACATTTATTTGTAAGAAGGAGAATAAGAGACATTTATTTGTAAGATGAGGAATACAGGATATTTATTTGAAAGAAGGGGAATAAGGGATGTTTATTTGTAGAAAGGGAAATAAGGGATGTTTATTTATAGAAAGGGGAATAAGGGATGTTTATTTGGAAGAAGGGGTATAAGATATGTCTATTTGTAAGATGTCGAAAGAATGAGGAGTAAGGGATGTGTGTTTATAAGAAGGGAAATAAGGGATGTTTATTTATAAAAGGGGAATAAGGGACGTTTATTTGTAAAAGAGGGGAATAAAAGACATTTATTTGTAAGAGAGGGGAAATAAGAGACATTTATTTATTTGTAAGAAGAACAGGAATAAGGAACATATGTTTGTAAGTTAGTATTTTGTTTCTTCCACAGAGCAAATTAACTCCACAAGAAAAAATGAAGAGGAAAATGCAGGCTGCTTTATCAAAACAATGTAAGAATTGATCAGTGTTCTAAAGTCTGTGTGTGGCATTTGTATTTTCCAGTGTGGTTTTACCCATGTCAGTGGTGCAGGATGGAGGGCATGACAAGAACAGCAGTCTAGTTGATCAGATTGGACAAAAAACTGGCGTGCACGTAAATGATTCAATGGCAGTTGGTATTCAATTTTCCCCATAGCGCTCTGTATGGCGTATGCCGTATACCTGTCTTCGTTAGCCAAGTCGGAGCAGAATAGTAGGACATCAAACTCCATTTCATTTCATTTATTAGTGCATTGTGGTTTACTCCATGATTTGTTTTTGATTCCCGGGTTGTACGTCACATGGAGTTGGGTGACAAGGAGTTGGGTCATGATAAGGAGTTGGGTCGCCTGTCCAAACTTGGTTTCCTCCCACTGCTAAAAACCCCTACACACAAGCAAATTATTGAAATAAAATTGAACCATGTTAGTCCCAAAATGACCTGGTTTGTGTCCAGTGGATGTAAACCTCTCTCTCTCTCTCTCTCTCTCTCTCTCTCTCTCTCTCTCTTTCTCTCTCTCCCTCTCTTGAATTTTACATTGTCTTGTACAGCTGTGATGTGTCACACTCAATCATATGTGTATGGTTCTAGAGGAAATATTTTAAATTAACTTGTCTAACCCAACCAGATGATTCTCAAGGAAATATTTCACTTTTAGAATTATTTCACTTTTACTTTCAGTCAAAGTAGACAAAAAGGTTGAACTGGAAAAAACAGAAAAAAGTATGCAAGAAAGAATGGTAAGTGGTTTTATTCTTTCGTTTAAAAATACTTTCCTGGTACAAACTGTGTGATTTAATGATATATTTGGACTAAAAACATATTCATACTGATTAGTCTATCAAAAATTTGCTTCAAAACCCTCTCAAACCGGGGATCACGGTGGCTAAGTGGGTATGATGTTGGCTCGCTAGCCTGGAGGTCGGGTGTTCGATCCCTGCATTGGCCGAGAAAGTTCATTCAGATTTTTCTGCATGGTTCCCCCTTGTCAGTGATGCAGGACGGAGGGCCTGACAAGGGCAGCTGTGTAGTCGTTCGGATGGGACATTGGCATACACGTAAAAGATCCCTTGACAGTTGGATTTCGATATAAGAGTAGGCCGTAGTTCCGCTGTCCGGGCAAAATTTCCCTCTTAGCACACTGTATGGCGTATGCCCGTCTTCATTAGTCCAGTTCGGAGCAGAACAGGACGTTAAACCCCATTTCATTTCATTTCCCTCTCAAACCTTTGTATGCGTGGGAAGATTCCTCAATCAATAAATAAACTGTTGTTAGAGGCCATGTCTGTCATCTGGCTTCTTTGACTGAGGGTCCATTTTTCAGAATGTATTTTTCATTACTTACTCTTTATTTACCATACATATTGAGGCCTTAGTGCATTCTTTATTATTTTCTGTCAACTTCTTTTTCTGCCATTTAATTTAAGTCTTTTGTACGTTTACACCCCTTAATGTTCCCAAAACCTCCTAACCATTTCATCAAGAAATAACAACCGCTCCCTCACTTAAGCTGGCACACAATAAGCTGGCAGACAACAGCCAGATTGCCAGTTAGTGATACCCTGACATTTTGGCCCAGTGCTTGCCCCATGGGTGTTTTTCAGGTAATCCAGTAAGACAGGGTGTTTATACCTTCCATATATACCAAATTTGCCACACTTTTATTGGAAATAACCACCTGATAAATACTTTGGTGACAATGTATCTTTAATGAGGGCTGTGATAAGTCTAGTTACGATATGATATACAGATTGGTAGTTTGTATGAAAGTATGCATGGAAACACTCACTGTAACCCAGGTATCGTTTAATCTTGTGTATCTAGCACTAATCTATTTTACATTCTTTTAATATCAAATCTTTGTTTAAAATTCGTAAAAACTGTTTAAAATCTCCATGAATCGTTTAATTTGTACTTGTGTCCAGTTTAAAGCTGACTGATTAATTTTGATGAGTGTGCAATTTACAAGTGTTTAATTTCCTGACCACTGTTCAAAAATTAATCATTATACATCATTAATCAATTGGGTTGTTTATTTTTTAACAGTGATTGAGAAATAAAACACTTGTAAATTGGACACTCGTTATCAAAATTGAATGGTCAGCTTTAAACTGAACACAAGTACAAATTAAACGATTCATGGTGATTTTAAACAGTTTTTACAAATTTAAAAACAAAGATTGGATATTAAACGAATGTGAAAGAAATTAGTGCTAGATACACAAGATTAAATAATACCTGGGTTACAGTGACTGCTGTCCGAGCAAAATTCTCTTCTCATCAATTTTATTTAAAGATACATTCTGTAAGATTTAGATAAAGAGCTAGCCATTCTTGCTATAATAGTTTGAAATTAGATAATGTAAAATGAATAATTTCAAAATTTCATTCAAATTACTCTATTGCGAGCGAAGATATTAGCCTTTGAAGGTTTGACAAGACGTGTGCAATAATTCAACCACCATACTGGTTGTTCGAAGCTCAGTCTCGTTCCTCCATTTTTACCTTAAATCAAAATATGGCTGAACTGTTCTAATCTATTTAATATCGGAAAAATCTGATGCCATCGCGAGTTGATTATGGCCTGGATAAGTTAATTAAAGTCTAATTAATAATTTAGAAAATATTTCAGGCCTAAAGAAAGACCTGCATAATGTATGTTTAATAGTAAGATTATTTTTTGTGTTTTTTTTATAACAGGATCGTGAAGAAGATTTAAGATTACGGTCTTTAGAGATGAGACGTAGAGAACGAGAGAAACGACATAAAGAAATGGAGGAATACGACCGTGATAGAAGTCGTAGTCGAAGTAGAAGCCCTGTACGATCTAAAAAACGAAGTCGTAGTCGATCACCTAGATCCAGACATTCAAGAAGGTCAAGGTCGTAGGCCTTGTTCAGAGGTAATACAACATTCTTGTTTCTGATGTAGAAATAAATTTCGAATGTTTTCCTGATATATTTGTAGGGGGTGGATGGTCGAATGGTTAGAATGTGTGCAAGCCATAACGAGGTTTGTCATTAAGTCAAGTGGCGTTGTTTCGATCCTCTGCTTGTAGGAGTAGGGTTGCCTTCCAACCTTGTGGGTTTTCTCATAGGCCTCCGGTTTCCTCCCATTGCTAAAGACTCTATGCACAAGCGAATTATTGAAATAAAATTGAGCCATATGTTAATCCCGAAATGACCTGGTTTATGTGGAGTGGATGTTAAACCCCATTTCTCTCTCTCCTGATATATTTCCATTTCTTATTGAAACATAGAGAGCTGCAGTGAATCATAGAGTAAGGCGTGGCTCACTAACAAGAAGGTCTTGGGTTCGCTCCCAGTGTTGTCCAAGAAAGTTCCTCAGGATTTCCCCCCCGTTTCCTCATGTCGGTTGTTCAGGACGGAGGGCATGACGAGGAACGGCATCCAGTCGATTGGATGGACGAGAAACCGAGGGAGAGAGAGAAATGGGTTTAACGTCCACTTGACACAAACTAGGTCATTTCGGAACTAACATATGGTTTAATTTTATTTCAATAATTCGCTTGTGCATAAGAGTCTTTAGCAATGGGAGGAAACCAGAGGCCTATGAGAAAACCCACGAAGTTGGACAGGCGACCCTACTCCTTGTCACGTACAACCAGGGAATCCAATCCACGCCAGTTGGCTCAATGACAGGCCTTATGATACAGCGCACACATGCTAACCATTCGGCCATCTAACCCCCCTTCACGTAAAAGAATCCTTGAATGTCTGATTTCAAACTAAGGGTAGACCGTAGTGTACGGGCAAAATTTTCATCAGGTCTGTGATGGAGTCGGCCCTACCTTGCAGGTTTTCTCTTTTATTCAGCTGTCTAGTTGTTCGGATGGTATGTAAAAGTAGCTGTCTCATAGCTCACTGTATGGTGTATGTCCGTCTTCATTAGCCTAGTCGGATGTTAAACCCTGTTTCATTTCATTTCATTTCTCCTTTATTTGTTTGTGATAAATGTAACAATATAATAAAACCTAATTAATAGATTCTAATATTGATTTATTTTAGGTACCAGACTGCTAATATTCCATCTTCAACATAACATCAAAATATAATATTACAGAGGAGAGATTATCTGTGTCAAAATATAATATTACAGAGAAGAGATTATCTGTGTGAAATAAAACTACACTTCCCAACTTCATTATTCGAGTTGGTGCAAATAAATAGGAACTTTTCAAATACGCCATCGGCTTCATTATTCGAGTTGTTCCAGATAATTGGAACTTATTTGGCTGTGTTTGGCCAGATAAATTGGAACTTTTCAAAATACCGCCTCTGTCTTCATTAGCTGAGTTGATGCAGATTAGTTGGAAATTTTCAGAACAAGGCTCCGTCTTCATTAGCTGAGTTGATGCAGGAAAGTTGGAACTAATACCCCATTTCATTGTGAAATACACCTGTGAGATTATTGCTAGTTATTGTGAAATGAATCTTGTGAGACCAAGTTATTGTAAAACGAATCTTGTAGCACCAAGTTATTGTGAAATTAAACTTGTGAGACCAAGTTATTGTGAAACAAATCTTGTGCTCGACCAATTTATTGTGAAACGAATTTTGAGAAGCCAAGTTATTGTGAAACGAATCTTGTGAGACAAACAAAATGTGAATTGTTATATCTCTCAGTACCTTAGGCCATAAAAAAAAAATTATTTTGATTCTCAGATTATCCAACGTCACTTAGAAAAAGCTGCATAACCTGTTTTTGTTATAAAAAATGAAAAATAAAAACGGACTCATTAATTTCCCCATGTAAATATTTTATCCTGGTTACAGGAAGTAAATCTGTAAAAAAGTTTTAATGTATCCATAGACTCATTTATCAAGTACACAACCCTGATAAATGTTACCAACAATCATAAATGATACTGGACAATCGTACATTCCTACAAACAACAATTTGATGTGTATAAAAGTCATTTAGCCAAGTAGTGGTCCCTTGACAAAATAAAACACAAAAATAAAAATGTCCCTCCCTCATCGGATTTTTGGTAAGGATTGTCTTGAGAAACAGAATATTTTTTTTGTTTGGCCTTATAGAAGTGATTCATGGTGGCGTTCAAAACAGTTTGTGTTGAAAATATTAAAGCTCCGAAGTGATTGTTAATTCATTGTAATTTTGTGCATATCATTAGGATGTTTTTGGAAGTGAAAAGCAACAAACCCTGGATGAAAAAAACCCATCTGTAATAATTAAACATACATTAGGCAAGAGGTAAATCTGCCTATTGCAGGTCTTTCTTTAGGCCTTAAATTTTATATAAACTATTAATTAGATATTAATTAACTTGACAGGACCATAATCAACCCTCACTGCCATCGTTAGCCTGCAATGTTTACTGGATTTGAATACATTTTGTGATGGATAATTTAACATTAATATGGTTAATCGAGATTTGATTTGTTATACAAATGTCTGACGACAGAGACTAGCCTAAAATTCAATCGCTAATATCTTGGTTCAGAGTAAAGCAATTTGACCGAAATTTTCAGCATATTTTGTTTTCATTATCCATTTTTTAACTATTATAGCAAGAACTGTCAGTTCTTTATCTAATCTTACCTAATGCCTCTTTAACCCTTATTGTAAATAATAATTACCCCAGTCCCTGAAATAATTAAATGTATTTTTACACGAAGTTTTGTATCAAATATCAAAAGCACCTAAAACTAATATTGTTGTATCCGGTTTTGAATTCAAACTTTATTGACTGATCAAATGTGTTTTACAATGGCATGTGTGATTAATATTTTATATTTGTTTAAAATGCACAAATTAAGACGCCATTTTTTTGTATATATGAGATATAATATAAAGTTTACATGATGTTGAGAGTGCTAGGTGTTGAGTATGATGAAAGACCATTTGAGATACTATAGTCCTGATCAGAGGTCGCAGTGGATCAATTTCGAGTTCAAAAATTTTGCGTTTTTGCTCTCTACATCTGTGTGATTTAGAGTCTCTCAATAGAAGCACGTAAAATCGTTACGTGAACAACCCTATTTTAAGCGTTCTTATTTCATAGATATTGTATTTAGTCTAATGACGACATAAAGTTGACGGCATGTCTATGGTTGACGGCATGTCTATCAGGGCTTGCCACGAGACGCGAGCAGTTTCTCGCGCTCGCGCTGTGCTCACGTAAATCTACATTTACGCGAGCGGTTCGTTGCTCGCGCAAAATTTTAAGAAAACCCTGTAAAAATAATCAAAATATTGACAAGTTTATTGCCGAAACTAAACCAACAATGTCAATAACTTCATAAATTCGTCTGTCAAACTGAGATTCACCCAGCTGCAGGCGGCATTTCCTCCTTAAATTTGATTGGCTAAAAATTTACTCAGCACTCTTGTTACTAAAAATACACTTTAGACCTGAACGTTATGACTGGTTTTCCTACGAACACCAGTAACGAACGCGTGATAATCGAGTCTAAAGTAAAGAATGTTTACATCCCGGCATTAGGCATTCACGCTAAATGAACACGTTTCAAACTAATATTTATCGGTATTTTCTATTTTATCAGAACTTCGGTTTTTATTCCATTGTGCAGTCGTATAATTTTCAATCTAAGCGTAATAATGGCCAAAGGCAACCTGATTGCCCTATCCACATTTATTTCGTGGGGTGAAGAAATCCATACGGAAATTGGTTTTAATAAAGAAGAGTACGTATGACTGTCAAAAACAGAAAGCGATGGTCACACATGTTTACTGCAAACTTTGTGCCAGGAATAGCAATTTTCTTATGATTTTAAATTGAAACAATGTTACAAAATGTGTGCTCACGCAAACAACATTTTGCGTGAGCAATTTTTATTGCTCGCCTTGCTCGCCCAAACCTAAATTTGCGTGAGCAGTCATCTGCTCGCCATCAATTTATTCGTGGCCAGCCCTGTCTATGGTTGACGGCACAGTCATTTCAATCTTTCACTTCGACAGGAAGTAAAGAGCAAACTATCGCTATGAAAGTGAAGCCAATATTTGATTGGCTGAATGTAAACAGTTTATCGTGTTCTAGCCAATCTAAAGTCTTGTATGAAATGCGTTTTATTGCTTCCAGTGCGGCAAAATAGGGGGTCTCAGAATAGCTACGTATAGAAGGCTTACTGCCATGAACTTAAAGATTATGACCGAAATAAGAGGAAATATAAAAACCTACGGAGACTACGTACAGTAGAGGTGTGTAAATGCCATGTGAAGCACGGAAATTTATGGCGTAGTGTACAAACTACGAAATAGAATAATCTAATTATTCTCAATTCAGGGAAATTTTCTGCGTGTATATTTCGCAGAGTCCGTCAATATTTGCGTTTATTTTGAAAAAAATGCATGAAAAACACAGATTTTTGGGTGACTGCGACCTCTGGTCACGATATTTAGGAAAGTCAGAATTCGCATATATTGTGTTAATTTTAAAGCCTTTCATTCCCGTCTTTAATAACCCGGTTGGTGCAGAAAAGTAGGATGTTAAACCCTGTTTTATATCATATCATCCTTCTGTTTGTGGTTACTATGGTCACAGGTTTCTTGTACCTATTTCCATGCTCGCCTATTGTAATAATATAATTAGGTCTTGAAACGGGACCATTATAAAGTATCAGATGCCCCTCAGAGAGTTTATGTAGTAAGGATGCAACAAAAATAATTGTAAAACGAATAATTGCAATATCTTTTCACGATAATCCAAATATTCATAGTTTAAAGATTCATTATCACATTTTTTAATCCAAAATGATTCTTTTTGAAGTAAGGATTTTGTCGACATTATTGAAAGAGAATTGGTTTCAGGCGAGTTATTTGCCCCGGAGTTAGAAATCGGAGTCAGACCAGTTATTTCATAATCTCACTTACGAACAGGGATTTAACAAACTTTAGACATTATACTTAGTCATAGCCTAATGTTTTTGGGTTTTTTTTTTAATGGTCTGGGGCCTGTTTTACGAAATTTTTACTAAGATAAAATCCAAATTTTAGTAATTTGATTGGATAATATTAGATTGATTTTAGTACTTAACCAATCAATATTGAAGTATCTACTAAAGTTTTGATTTTATCTATAGTTAAGATTTCAAGAAACAGGGCCCTGAATTGAAATAAAATAAATTGTTTCTTTTTTTGAGATTTGATTGTATATAAATAGAAATTAAATTGAAATAAATGGCTATACAGTGAAATATGTTGTTTTATTGGTAGCTTTTTTTTTTTATAGTGGGGAGCCGCTGTGGCTCAGCTGGTAAGAGAGAGAGAAATGGGGTTTAACGTCCACTCGACACAAACTTATGGTTTAATTTTATTTCAATAATTCGCTTGCGCGTAGGGGTCTTTAGGAGTGGGAGGACCCGGAGAAAACCCACTAGGTTGGACAGTTGACCCTACTCCTTGTCACGTACAACCGAGGATTTGAAACCACGCCAGTCGACTCAATGACAGACTTTGATACAGTGCGCGCACGCTAACCATTCAGCCATCCAACCCCCCAGCTGGTAAGACATTGGCTCGCTAACCTGAAGGTCCCGGTGTTGACCCAGAAAGTTATTAGGATTTTCCGGCATTGTTCCCCCATGTCAGTGGTGCAGGACGGACGGCTTGGCAAGTGACAACATATAGTGTCGTCCAGATGGGACCAATAACCAAGGTCCCGTGTACAAATTGAAGTGCACATAAAAGAACCCTTGCCTGTTGGAATTTGATATTAGATTTGTAGGATGTTAAACCCCACTTAATTTCATTTCACCTTTATCATATTGAGATAGAAATGGGGTTTGCAGATTTTTTCACAAAATGTGAAATGACCAAGACTAGTAATTACTTCCCCTGATGATAAATGCAGTGTGCTTAATCGTAGTCATTTTTTCTTTCCCCCCACCCCCCTTTATTGGCATGGCTACTTTTCTAGACTTTTTGGTCTAGAATCCAGAAAAGTTTTTTATATTTAATTTTTCTGCCAGGTTTTAGTGAACATTTCATGATTTCGTGGTGGAAGTATGCAGAAATGAATTGCAGTGACTAAAATACTGTCACTGCCTATAGATTCCCATGACCAGGCCTAGCCAAATAAATAAACGGTCCACCCCTTTAGATATTTTTATCAGGTGGTTGTGACATCTTTGTCACTTAGTGGTTATAAAGACTAAAAACGAAGCCACGGTGGCTAAGTGGGTAGGACGCTGGCTCGCTAGCCTGAAGATTGTGTGTTCAATTCCTGCATTGGCCCAGAAAGTTCAGCATTTTCTAACGGGGTTTCCGCTTGTCCATCGTGCAAGACGGAGGGCCTAACAATGACAGCTGTCTAGTTGTTCGGAAGTGACGAAAAACTGATGTTCCGTGTATACATTGGTGTGCACGTAAAAGATGCCTTGGTAGTTAAAAGTCGATATAAGAGTAGGCCATAGTGCCGTTGCACGGGCAAAAATTCCCTCATAGCACACTATGGCATATGCCCATCTGCATTAGCCCAGCATAGGAGAAGAACAGTAGAACGTTAAACCCCATTTCATTTCATTTTATAAAATCATCGGAAGTGTTGTTCAAGAAATGTCATGTGGTGATGTTAATTGGTAGAGAATAACTAGTCTGATCCCTAATAAGTTAAATGTAGTTGTCTCCCTTGTATAATGTATGATCATCGATACATTCAGTCGACAGTTAGACCTTCATTTATCAGACCCCTTTCAAACTTCTTACATATTTGTTTTTCTTAATGCTAATAGAATTTGAGATATTAATTATTTATAATTCCATCATTAACGGACAGATCTCACGAGAGGGGGGGGGTGGTGGATGCAGCCGGTGAGCCGCCCCAGTCCCAGTGCCCATAAGAGTCTATGAGGTCCATGCTTTCTAATACTATGTCACTTACGCTTATTACAGAACTTGACAAAATGGTCCACAGATCTTTTAAAAAGATTTTTGATTCCCCAGAACATATATAGTGCAACTGACTCATCTAGATATGAGTAATGTTGGAAAGGAGGCGGGGTGGGAGGCAAAAAAGGTCTCGCCCCAGCACATTTTTTTTTCCTATCAAGGGCCCTGTTAACGAAACACCCAAGAGGCGACAGTTAATTAATCTCCGTTTTAAAATACCTTCCTTGATACAGGCACACAAAGAAAAATATAAGTTACCTCCCCTGCATTGCGATCACTAAGTTGTAAGATTTATTCTAGTTGAGATTCGCACGAGACAGCTCCCCGAACGAAGCTTCGAAAGTAGGGGAGAAAACCTGCACTTGTTCCTATCTTCTATTTTCATTTTTTTTTTCTTTCTGTGAAACATTCAGATTTGTGAACGGAACACCTTGACTTCCACGACATCCATCTGACCATGTTTAAACGACCCGTTCATATTTTTCCATTTTATTTTGAAAACATCATATGAACCAAAAGATAATTTTACCCTGTAAAGAAAATGCCAGCCTGCAACGCCGCTTCAGTCTGCCACCCCCAAGCTCAGGTCCTTCACAAACTTTTATTGTCATTCTTAGTGTTAAAAATGAAATGGTGTTTACCGCTTTTCATTTCTGCTCCGACTACAGGGGCGGATCCAGGAATTCTTGCAGGAGGGGGTTTACAAATTTCGTCAAGGTCACGAGATTTTAAACAGAGCAAGCGCTAACCCTAGCACAAGACCTAGCCCTAACACCTACCCACAATTCTCGGCAACAATCACGTGACCTAACCCTGTTTACACCTTGTGGTCTTGAAGAAATCTACAGGTAGCCTTAATTTTTAAATCTGGCCCTATTTATGCCACAAATTTGTGTCGTTAGTGTGCGAGCATGGGGCAGGGGCGGATTGGGGTGGGGGGTGCATATCCTCTCCTGCTCAGCTACATAAAAAAAATGTAAAACAACAGCGTATAGTCGTTCGGATGTGACGAAAAACAGAGGTCCCGTGTACACATTGGCGTGCACGTAAAAGAACCCTTGACTGTTGGAATTCGATATAAGAGTAGGCCGTAGCGCCGCTGTCCGAGCAAAATGTCCCTCATAGAACACTGTCACGGTCATGTGCTTTATCCTTTTATCCTTTATCATCAGTTAGTGGGGTGGGATAGGCATTCAAAGCGCGAGATGTATGTGATATCACAATTAATGCTTTGCATCAATCAAATTGAATCACAATGTCATTGTATTAATTCATAGGGTCAAAAGCCGCTTGTATGACCTCTGGTGCGACCTTCCACTACAACCGGTCAGATTTTCATGTAGTAGAGGCTATCGAAAGTAAAAAAAAATAAAAAAAAAATAAACAGAAAACGAATTATAGATCTGTATTTTGATCAGATTGGAGGGGGCACAAAAACTCCAACCCCGCATGACGTAAAGTGCGTCATTGCACTCCCTTCACATAGCTTCTTGAGAAATATGTTTGAAAAAAAAGTGGGTTGCACTATTTATCAATGTTGAGAGCCTAGAACCAGACAATCTACATTTTTATTCAATTTTTTTTTTACCTAGATGTCATCAATTTACAGTTCTATGTTAATATCATCGCCCTAACACTGTATTATACATCCTCTTGAAGTGACAAGATTTTTTGTATTTGGAATAATAATAATCTTATGGGACAAAAATGTCTGATATCTGGCAAGCGCGAATGTGATTATAGAAAAACGAACTGCACGTTAAACTTTTGACATGGGAAACAATTTCGTCGAAATGTTTTGACATTTAAAGAGAGAGAGAGAGGGGGTTTATCGTCCACTCGACACAAACTAGGTCATTTCGGGACTTACATGGTTCAATTTTATTTCAATAATTCGCTTGCGTGTAGGGGTCTTTAGCAGTGGGAGGAAACGGGAGAGTCCGGAGAAAACCCACGAGATTGGACAGGCGACCCTACTCCTGGTCACGTACAACCGGGGAATCGAAACCACGCCAGTTGACTCAATGACAGACTTTATAATGCAGCGCGCACGTACTAACCATTCGGCCATCCACCCCCACTTAACATTAAAAGCATATCCAATTGTTTTTCTAGCGCCTTCAAAGATTCGAAATGGAAATGTTTTAATGTTTAACAGGTGAATGAAATCGTGTCTCTACCATTCATAAATAAAATCTGTTTTTTTTCTCCATCAATGTTTTGAATTCGGTGTCTTTGATCTTCTGAAAATAGAAAAAATAAGTGTGACTTAATGGTCGGGGTTCAACGTTTGAAAAACATAAAATCACACAAACTGCATTTTAGTATAGATAACCCACGATATATATTACATAGATGTATAAACTTTATGGATCATTGACGAAGATGTTTTTAAAAAAAAAGGCCCGGTCATCATTTAAAAACCGCCAAGTCCCCTATAATTTCAACAAATAATTCAATTTATGGCGTAAATTCATTTTAGGACTAGTCCCGAAATGACATAGTTTGTGTCGAGTGACGATAAAACCCATTTCCCTCTCTCATTTTTGGACGTTTAGATTGGAGTGAGGCCAAAACGCAGGCAAATCTTCGCCCTATACTTTTTCGACGTTGGGGGGTGGGGGGGGTATGGTCTGCGCGAGCAAATGGGGAAGGGGCTCCTGAACTGGACCCCTCATCTGGACTCGCGCCTGCATAATAATTTTTTACTAACTGGGGATTTGAATTGCATGCAAAATGTCGATAAAACTACATGTAGAAACTGATTGTCCTGGATGTGGTGAGTGATTGATATAGACAAGACTAATATAGGTCGATTACACGTTTAAATATTTAGGCCAATTATTGTCGTTTCGCTTCGTTATGTATTTTGACACCTACATTAAAAATGTAGGCCGTGGGAGGTGTGAATATAAAGGTAGTTAGAAGCTGATTTCTATATGTGGGTCACAATAAAAAGATGAATAATCACTCTTACCAAGAAATGAAATGAAATGGGGTTTAACGTCCTACTGTTCTGGTCCGACTGGGCTAATGAAGACGGGCATACGCCATACAGTGTGTTATGAGGGACATTTTGCTCGGACAACGCCGCTATGGCCTACTCTTATATCGAATTCCAACTGTCAAGGGTTCTATTACGTGCACGCTAATGTGTACATGCGACCTCTATTTTCCGTCCCATCCGAACGACTATACGTTGTTCCTTGCCAGGCCCTCCGTAACCGTATACCCGAAGATTATTCTATTGTTTTGTCTTATTTCTCGTCCGTTTCAGCTATAACTATATCGCCGTGTATTTATAGTC